ATAGAAAAATACATACCATGCAATCACAAATCAAGAGAAAGCTGGAATGGCTTAAGATGAGAAAAAGTAGATTTCAGAGCAAAGAAAATTACCAGGGATAAAGAGAATCATTATACAAAAATAAAAGGGTCACTTACCAGGAAGACTTAATTGTAAATGTGTATGCACCTAATAAAAGAGCTTCTATATACATTAGGCAAAAGCCATCAGAACTGAAAGGAGAAATACACAGTCACAATTACAGCTACAGAGGAATACTCTTTTTCTCAATAATCAGTAGAATGAGTAGACAGAAAATAAGTAAGGATAAGGAGAAGTGAAGAGCACTTGTCAATCAACTAGGTCCAACTGACATTGATAGAACACTTCACCTAACAACTGCAGAATATATGCTTTTCAAGAGCCATGGAACATCCGCCAAGACAAACCCTATACTGGGTCATAAAACAAACCTTAACAAATTTAAAAGAATCAAACTCATTTAAAGTATGTTCCCTGATCATCATGATTTAGACTAGAAATGAATTACAGAAAGATAACAGGAAAACCTCCCTTGGAAATTAAATAATATCCTTCTAAATCATCTACAGGTCAAAAAGGAAGTCTCAAAAGAAATTAGAAAATAGGGGTACCTGGGCTGGCTCAGTTGGTTAAGCACCTGCCTTTGGCTCAGGTCATGATCCTGGGGCCCTGGGATCAAGCCCCACATCAGGCTCCCTGCTCGGCGGGGAGTCTGCTTCTCCCTCTCTCTCTGCCTCTCCCCCCACTCAGGCTCTTTTTGTCTCTAATAAATAAATAAAATCTTTAATAAAAAGAAATTAGAAAATATTTTGAACTGAACAAAAGTAAAAATGCAACATATCAAAATTTGTGCAATGCAGCTAAAGCAGTACTTGAAGGGAAATACATAACATTAAGAGTTTAAATTAGAAAAGAAGAAAGGTTTTGGGGCACCTGGGTGGCAGATAAGCATCTGCCTTCGGCTCAGGTCATGATCAGGGTCCCGGGATCGAGACCCACATTGGGCTCCCTACTCAATGGGGAGTCTGCTTCTCCCTCTGCCTCTCCCCCTGCTTGTGCTCTCTCTCTCTCTGTCGAATAAATAAATAAAATCTTTAAAAAAAAAAAAAAAAAAGAAGGCCTCAAATCAATTAAGCTTCCATTTTAGCAAAATAAACTCCAAGCAAGCCAAAGGAAAGAAATAACAAATATCAAAGCAAAAATTAATGAAATTGAAAAAAGAAAAAGGAGAAAATCCATGAAACCAAAAGCTGGTTCTTTGAAAAGACCAATAAAATTAATAAATCTCTAGTATGACTGAAAAGAGAAAGAGAGAAGACACAGATTAACAGTATCTGGAATGAAAGAGGGGTTATTACTGTTGACCTTGCAGACCTTAAAATGATAATAAGGGAATATTCCAAACGACTCTACACACATAATCACCCATTTAGATGAAATGGAACAATTCCTCGAAAACTGGAAACTACCAAAAGTCACTCAAAATGAAAAAGATACCTGAATAGCCCTACAACTATTTTAAAAATGGAATTCATAGTTTAAAACCTTCCTAAATATAAATCCTCAGATCCAGATTATTTCATGTGTAAATTCTACCAAACATTTAAGTAAGAAATAACACTAATTCTACGTAGTCTCTTCCAGAAAAATAAGAGGAGGAAACACATTCCAAGTTATTTTATGAAGCCAGTACTACCTTGATACCAAAACCAGGAGAAAATAATATAGGAAAAGACAAATACCCTCATGAACTAATATCCCTCATGAACACACATGCAAAAATCCTAAACAAAAACAAAACACCAAATCCATATGAAAACATGTTCAATATCATGAGTTATTAGGAAAATGCAAATCAAAACTATGAGATATTTCACATTCGCTAAGATAGCTATAATTTTAAAAAGGAACAATAACAAGCACTGACGAAGATGTAAAGAAATTGGAACTCTCAGGGTGTCTGGGTGGCTCAGTTGGTTAAGCGGCTGCCTTCGGCTCAGGTCATGATCCTGGGGTCCTGGGATTGAGCCCTACGTCTGGCTCCCTGCTCTGCGGAGAGCCTGCTTCTCCCTCACCCTCTGCCTGCCACTCTGCCTACTTGTGCTCTCTATCTGTCGAATAAATAAATAAAATCCTAAAAATAAAAAAAGAAATTGGAACTCTCATACATTGCTGATAGAAATGTAAAATGGCACAGCTACTTTGGAAGACGGCTTGACAGTTCCTCAAAAAGTTAAACATGGAGTTATCATATGACCCAGCAATTCCACTCCTAGGTATATATCCAAGAAAGATGAAAACATGCATACACAAAAACTTAAATACTAATGTTCACAGCAGCATTATTCCTAATAGTCAAAAAGTTGGAGCAACTACGTGTCGAGCAACTACGTTTCTACCAACTGATGAATGGATAAACAAAATGTATATCCATATAATGGAATATTAATTTGGCCATTAAACAGAATGAAGTACAGATACATTCTACAACGTGGATAAACCTTGAAAATGTTATGCTAAGTGAAAAAAGTCAGACACAAGACATATACTGTATGAGAGTCAAAAGGTGCCTTAGTGGTTGCCTGGAGCTGTGGGGAAAAAGGAGTGGGGAGTGACTGTAATAAGTATGGGGTTTCTTTTTGAGTGATGAAAATATTCTAAAATTAGATAATGGGAATAGTTGCCTAACACTGAATATACTAAAAACATGAAGTGAACACTTTAAAAGGGGTGAATTCTATGGTATGTAAATTATGTCTCAATAAAGCTGTTAAAGTAAATTAGCAAATTGAATCTGGAGATCAAGTAGAGTTTATCCTGGAAATGCATCATAGCCGCGTAGAGTTTATCCTGGAAAGGCAAAACTGATTAAAAAATTCAAAAATCAATTGGTGAAATCCACCATATTAACAGGGTAAAGAAAAACCTCATGAAACAATCAATTCAGAGTGTTTAACAAAATTCATCCATTCACACACACACACAAAACCAACTCTCAGCAAACTAAGAATAAAAGGAATATCCTCAACCTGACAAAAATTATTCCTCCCCCCCAAACCAGTTACAGCTAATATCATACAGAACGGTGAAGGTGAATGCTTTCCTTCTCACACTGGGAACAGACTGACAAGGAAGAAATGAAACTGTCCTTTCTTGTAGACAACATGATTGTCTATGTAGAAAATCCCAAGGACTCTACAAAAAAACAAACTCCTGGAACTAATTTTTAAGTTTAGCAAGGTCACAGAATACAAAATTCATCCACGGAAGTCAATTGCATGAATGACAAAATTATAGAGATGGAGAACAGATTAGTGGTTGTCAAGAACTAGGGAGGAGGGTACAGAGGGAGGTGGCTGTGGATTCAAAAGGGTATGACAAGTGATCCTTGTTATGGAGCTCTTCTGCTTCTTGACTGTGGTGGTGGTCACATGAAGCTACATATGTAATAAAATTGCATAGAACTGAATACACACAAATGAGTGCATGTAGAACTGGTGAAATATAAATAAGAGGAATAGACTGTATCAATGTCAATTTCCCGTGCTATTGTACTATAATTATGCAAAACGTTACCATGGGGGGAACTGGGTGAAGGGTATACAGGATCTTTCTGTGTTGTTTTTTTGCAAGGGCATGGAGTCCTACAATTATCTCAAAATAAAAAGTAACAAAAGGTCAGTTGTAACTCTCACACTGCTAGTGTGAGTGCAAAAGGTACATCCACTCTGGGAAATGACCTGATAATTTCTTATCGAGTTAAACATGCTCTTACCATATGAACCAGCAATCCCACTCCTAGATATTTACCCTAGAGAAATAAACTTCTATTCACACAAAAGCTGTACACGAGTATATGCAGCAGTTCCATTTATAACTGTCCAAAACTGGAAACAACTTCAATGTCCTCCAGGGGGTAAATGGATAAATAAAGTGTGGTGTATCCAGACTACAGAATACTATTCAGCAATTAATAGTATCAAACCACTGATAAGTACAACCACTTGGACAAATCTCAAAGGCATAGTGAGTGAAAGAAGCCGTATTATTTGATTCCGTGTATATGACATTCTTAAAAAAACAAAACTATAGTCATGTAAAAGAGTGGTTGCTAGGAGTTAGGATGGGGAAGGGAGTGATTACAAAGTGATAACACAGAGGAGTTTTTTGGGTGACGTTATTGTTGGTATCCTGAATGTAGTGGTTCAAAGGAATCTAGATGTGTGTTAAAATTCACAGAACTGTGTGCCAAAATGAAAAAGTCAATTTTTCTGTATGTTAATTAAAAAAAAATACTTTTTTGGGGACTCTAAATCATGTATCTTTCAAAAAATAAAAGACATTTTTAAAAAGACAATTTTGACATTTCAATCTTATATAATTAATACATTCAAAGAGGCCATTTAGAATTTCATTTCCAGCATAATTCCAGATCCAAGGGGATTGAAGAGACTACTATAGGCTTCACTTTATAGTATACGATGGAGCTCACAGAGCATTATATGAAAATTTCCTAACTCAAACTTCAACTAAGAAAAAAGAAAAACAATAGTTTTAATGTCAAAAATGCTCAGTAGGGACGCCTGGGTGGCTCAGTTGGTTAAGCGGCTGCCTTCGGCTCAGGTCATGATCCCAGGGTCCTGGGATCGAGTCCCACATCGGGCTCCTTGCTCAGAAGGGAGCCTGCTTCTCCCTCTGCCTGCCTCTCCCCCTGCTTGTGTTCTGTCTCTCTCTCTGACAAATAAATAAATAAAATCTTTAAAAAAAAAAAAAAATGCTCAGTAAACACCAAGTAAAAGAACATTTATTTTAATAACCTTTATTTGAATTGTAGCTGCAGACAACATGCTGAGTAAGCGTCTGCTAATTTTTTAACATAAGCAGATTTAATTTTGTTGACATATGAATAGTAGTTATAATAATCATTAAATAATAAATAAAAATGTTAAATGACCTATAAATAGGCTAAAAGCCACTCAGATAATTTAAAACAAAGATGTATTTTAGAACCTTTAAGATAGTAGATTAAAAACCATAGTGTTAGGTCAAATCAAGGAGTATCTGCATTAGAATCAAATTAATTATTGCCTGTGGGGAAGTAAGGAAGAATTAATTATTAATTACTCCATGAAATTTAAGTAAATAATCCAATGTAAAATGGCTTTTAAAAAATATCCTTAAATGTTTCTTGAAGGTACATAGTATTTTAAAAATGTATTCTAAATGCAACATTCAAGTCAGGGAAATGGTAAATACTATACATTCAAGTTAGCTAAGTTAAAAATGTTACTTAGCTACAATTAAGTATCTCTGTAAGCATATAGGTTTCCAATTCTGGCTATGATTATTCTGAATTTACAAAGAGGAAATAGGAGTCAGACTATATATGAAATGGATCAGACCTTTAGCTGCTTCCAGACAGCTTCTGCATTAAATTGAACAATCTATGGGGCGCCTGGGTGGCTCAGTCGTTAAGCGTCTGCCTTCAGCTCAGGTCATGATTCCAAGGTCCTGGGATCTAGCCCCGCATCGGGCTCCCTGCTCGGCCGGGAGCCTGCTTCTCCCTCTCCCACTCCCCCTGCTTGTGTTCCCCTCTCTCGCTGTGTCTCTCTCTGTCAAATAAATAAAATCTCAAAAAAAAAAAAAAAAATTGAACAATCTACACAGAAATTCCAATGATTACATAAATCTGTATGTTCTGGATTTCCTTCACATTTTATGGAACATTGGTCCCACTGTAGCTATAATATCTGCATAGGGAGCACTCTGGCTCAGCTCAATAGCCTGATGTTTTTTTAGGACAAGAAAGCTATAAAATTTGGCAGCAGCTTGTTTTTGGTCACTATTTCTGCAGAGCTTCATCAGACTAAAGTACTTCATTCCCATCTTGTTGGATTCCTGGGAAAATAATTAGAAAAGAAGAAAGGAAAGAGAAACAACATCATTAAAAGTACAGCAGGCTTTTGATGCATAATGAATAAAATATTGATATTTTTGGTAAATGAGCATGAAATCCTAAAATGGAGAAATGCAAATGACTCATTAATAAACTTAAAAAACATTATAGGTCATTGAGTATAAGCTTGGTTCATTGAGAAAATGCACACAAAAGAACTCTTAAAGTGTTATATAAATTTCTGATGTGTTATACAAATGTTAGGCCTTTTAAAAATTTGATGTTGGGGCGCCTGGGTGGCTCAGTCGTTAAGCGCCTGCCTTCGGCTCAGGTCATGGTCCCAGGGTCCTGGGATCGAGCCCCGCATCGGGCTCCCTGCTCCGCGGGAAGCCTGCTTCTCCCTCTCCCACTCCCCCTGCTTGTGTTCCCTCTCTCGCTGTCTCTCTCTGTGTTAAATAAATAAATAGAATCTTAAAAAAAAAAATTTTGATGTTAACATAAATGGGCTCTTGTGGAAAGTGAAGTCAGTTTAGACTTGCAGGCAGAAAACAATCCACAGGACTTTGGGAGGCTTCAAATACAATGAAAATTATCAGCCTTATCAGGCTTCTTTTCCTTAAAGGTAGTGGGAGGTGGGGGTGACTATAAACAACTATAGTTATAAATGTAAAATTATATTTATATCTTAGTGGCAGAGGAATATGACTATATAAACATCTCGCAGTTTCTTGGCACAGATTAAAAAGATGTTGGATTCACCATAGGGCGCCTATGAACGTACTAGAAAAAACTGAGATACAATAAAGTATTTAGTTATGGATAAAGATAACTCATTTTATGAAGACTAGTACTTGGAATCAGAGTTCTAGAATAGAAGTACAGTATAGTTTTTTTAGTTAGAAATACTGTGATGAATACTGATCAGTATCCCTTGAGCTTCTAATTCCTTTGATAGCTGTGAAGTATTTTTAGAAATACCATATACAGTTTTTTTTTTTTTTTGCTAATCCACAACATTTAGCAAACTAATAAATTAAATACTTTAAAATACTTTATCTCAACAACAGGAGTGGACAGGTATCAGCCGCCTTTCAGAGATGGCATGCCAAAACTTTGCTTATTCGCTCTTGAGGAGACAAGATGTGGATTGCCTGACTTTTTCCCCTGGGAGAGAAGAGGGACACCCTTTTCAATTTCAATAATCCTTTTGAAAAATACCCCAATATGCAAGCTGAACACACATGCTTATTTATTCTGTTCCCTCCAGAAACCTCTCTAAAACGAAGGTAAAAGAATAAAAGGTGACAACGGAAGGAGATAAAGACAAACTGAAAGACTGACTGACTTAGCAGAGTAGAGAAAGTTAAAACCTAAGTTTTAACTTAGGGAGGGAGGAAAAGCCAGCAGAAAACAAGCCAGTGTGAGCTATAGAACCTTGGAAAAGCTCAGGAATTGCAGGTAACAGTATAAGATGGAGATAAAAATTCCTCAGAAGTCTACTTGGGAGTAGTCAGACCCTCAGGTCCACTCTACCACTTCACTGAACCAGGAGACCATGACTCCAATACCCTGCAAGGAGGCAGGAAGTGGCCTTTCTAAAGATTCCAACCGCTGAGGCTCTAGAGTTGGGATACCAAGCACTGTGGATGGTGGAGAAGTGTCATACCACAAGCTAGGGGTTAAGTGAAATTCTACAAGCTAAACAATGAGACAGTCAAGGTCTTGCCTTCCCCCTCTTGGTTCCTGAACCAGCAGCATCATGCTTATATCTCCTGGGCAGTAGATTTGAAGATTTAGCTCGGAAAACTGAGAACTACAGATAATGGTGCCTGTGTGTGTGCAAGTGTGTGTGTGTTGCGGGGGGAGGGGGGGAGGCACCGCCCAGTTATCTCACTATTGAGACCATAAGTCTACAAGCCCCACCCTTGCTTATATATCTTCCAATCTGATTTTTGCTGGCTCACTCTTTTTTTTTTTTTTTTTTAAGATTTATTTATTTATTTTAGAGACAGAAAGAGAGCATGAGCGGGAAGGGCAGAGAGAGAGGGAGAGAGAATCTCAAGCCGACTTCTCGCTGAGCACAAAACTGAGGTTGGGATTGATCTCACAACCCTGAGATTACAACCTGGGCCGAAACCAAGAGTCTGATGCTCAACCAGCTTCGCCACTGAGGCACCCCCTTTGCTGTCTCACTTTTAAAGAAGAACAGATAACCAAAGATCTACCAGACATTTGAGTTTAATTTCTAACATTCAAGAGCATCACTAACATTCAAGAGAATCACTAAGCAAACACAGACAATGTAGGGACCAGAAGAAAACTATAACCTATGAAAGAGAAGACTCTGTATCCATAAAACATAATGAGGATGATTATTGAAAGAAAGCAGATTAGTGGTTGCTTGAGGAGGGGGGAGGGGGGCCAGTGGGAGAGATGGGACAAAGGATTATCAAGAGGCACAGGAAACTTTTTGGGGTTGTAGATATATACGTTCACTATCTTGATTGTGGTGATGGTTTCACAGATATATACATAATGTCAAATTATCTACTATATACTTTAAATAGGTATGGTTTATTGTATGTTAATAATACCTCAATAAAGCTGTTAAAAAACTAACTAAATAAATGAAAAGATTAGGATGCTACAAAACAAAAGAATAATTAATAACTAAGAAAAAAACTCCTGGAAAACAAAAAAGGTGAAAGTAGAAATAAAATTCAATAAAAACTGGAAGATAAAGTTGAAGACATTTTCTAGAGGGTAGAAAAAAATAAAAAGACAAGGGGAATTAATATAAGGGATAAAAGATTTTTTAAAAATTAAAGGTGTAAAAATAAATAAAAAATAAATAAATAAAAATAAAAATAAAAATTAAAGGTGTAACTCAGGGGACCCAACATCTGACCTGTAGGCAATCCAGAAAGATAGAACAGATTAATAACACGAAGGAAATCTAAGAAATACAATAAAATTTCCTAGAATTCAAGGACATGAACTTTCAGAATAAAGAACCCATTACCTGCTCAGCACAATAAATGAAAAAAGACCCATATCAAAACACATCATCATGAAATTTCAGACCACTAGGAGTAAAGAAAAGACCTAAACATTTCCAGAGAGAAAATAAAGGTCACCTACAAAGGACTGCCAACCAAGCAGCATCTAACTTCTCAGTAACAACGCAAGAAGCCTAGATATGTTCAAAGTCTTCAACATCTGAAAGATATTATTTTCAAACTATATTCAGAGACACCAAATCAAGTTAAAGGTAAAAAAAAGAAATTTTCAGACTTGTACATAGGGTGTCTATCTCCTATGCACTCTTTATCTCAGGAAATTATGAAAGGATGTTAACCACCAAAAAATTCAAGGTAAAGAAGATCAAAGCATTGAGAAATAAAGAAACTAATATAGGAAAGAAACAAAGGAATTCCCATATTATGATTAAGGAATGTCCCAAGATAAAAACTGGGGAAAAGACCTAGAGAGCAGCTAGTCCAATTAGAACAAGAGGATGATAAGCTCTGGAAGGAATATCTGCAAGAAAACATACTGGAACTGATGAATCAATTGACACATTTGAGCATATTAAAAGGGGTTTCATTATATTGTCAGAGTTTGAGAAAAGAATTAAGGATGAGTATACAGACACTAAGCAAATGGGAAAAATGAGGCAATGATTAACTCCAAAAAAACCCACTATAAAGTTGACAAGAAAAGAAATGTAATTACACTAATTTTTACATAGTCTTTGTAGCAGTGACTGCTGATTGTCTCTTAATATCCATTCTTGTCTTCTTTCATAGCAATAGAATAATTAGCTGGGCCCAAGGTTGCCAGATAAGGACTACATTTCCCAGATAGATGTGGCAAGGTGACTAAGTGCTGGGCAATGAAATGTGAAAAGTGATACACACAATTTCTTGTTGTACCCTTAAAGGAAATTTTGCTGCTGAACAGAATGCAGACATGGTGGGTACTTAGCCATTTTTGATTCTGAGAAAATAAAGAAAATGAGATAAAGGTAACCTGGGTCTCTGACAACTTTGTGAGCATAGAGGCTATACCAGATTATACTTTATCTTTTTAAACCACTGATATTTTGGCTCTTTGTCAAAATCAAACCTACATCATAACTATTACAATTATAACACTGTAAACACTGAATACTGTGCTAAAAACAGACTGCGGTGAGAAAGCTATAACTATGCTAAATTTTCATTTTACGTTGAAAGAAGTCAACAGATAAAATTTAAAGCTGAAATATCAAGAAAGAACAGTAAGAATATGTAATTAGAAATATAGATATCAATACTGAATGAAATAGCTTAATATAGTTGCCTCTGGTGAGCAGGACTTAGTAAATAAGGAAGGTAGGACAAAAAACTTCTCTGTTTCCTTCTTAGCCTTATAGCATAGAACTATTGAACTTTAAAAATTATATACATGTATTATTTTGATTAAAATGTTAATTTTTTTTGAGAGAGAGAGTGAGAGCAGGGAAGGAGGTGGGAGGGGCAGAGGGAGAGAGAGAATTTCAAGCAGGCTCCATGCCCAGCACAACTTGGGGCTCTATCTCATGACCTGAGATCATGACCTGAGCCAAAATCAAGAGTCAGATACTTAACTTACTGAGCCACCCAGGTGCCCCAAAATATAAGTTAAATTTTAAAATGATCTGTTTTAAACTGTTATAAACTTAGTTTCATATAGAGAATTAGTTGATAGCCTGCTAAACACAAGAATGGGACATACACTAGATGTCTTAGGAGCATGAGTATAGGTAAGAAGTTGATTAGAATATGCAGGCACCAAAAGCAAACTCCCTCAGTTAGCCCTGGGTATACTGCTCAAAATCATTTCATTCTAGTGGAATTTGGTCTCAACAAAAAAATAATGAAGACGAATTCATTTTTATTAATATCTAGAAGATTGACATCAGCATTTTATTTTTAAAAACAAAAATAGGATTGACAAACCCTACCATCTTACCCGCAAACTATTTAACATCTGAAGAATTCTTCGATTCCATCTCTCTGTCTCGATATTTTGTTCATTCCCTGATGACTCCTGTTTGAATGATTGATAAAATATTTCATTTAAACAAATTTCACCATATGTTTACTATTTGCCAAGCATAGTGTTAGCTGCTACAAGAAACCCAACTATAACACTGGGTCCTGCTAAATAGAGTTTATAGTCTGATGATAGAGAGAATAGGAAACATACAAATATGTATCAATCTTTGCAGGATTATATCTATGCTACCTAGGCAATGAGAGGCTCCAGAGTAGGAGATTCTGCAGTCTGTTTTGGTAATGCATCCAAGAGGATTATGTCCTTACTTTCAAAAGTAAAATCAGCAGTGACTTTTGGTTAGGACTATCCCAGCTCTGGTCAATTTGAACTGAGTTGACAGGAATAAACATAAAGCTATAGAAAAACTGCCTTGTAAAGGCCTTTATGTGAACTTACCTGGTGATAAAGATGGTCTAATTAATAAGTGATGTTTAGCAATCTTTGTACAATTGGATTAGAACCTTTTTGATTTCAAGGGTAACTTGCCCAAAAAAGATCAACCCACTTCCTGTCATATTATCTGAATAGATTCATTCTTTTCAGTCTTTAAAATTTAGCCACCTTCAGAAACACCTCAATATTTAAAAATTGTCAAGTTGAAATCCCTTCACAGGAACTCACTCTAAGTTCTTATCAACTAACACTTTATGAGCTAAGAACAGAACTGGGGATAGGAAAGGTGCTGATGAATCTGACAAAAGAGCAAGTCTACAAAGTGCAGGGGGTGGGGGGGTAGGGGGGAGGAAGGTGGCACAGAACTGACCTACTTTATAATTTTTCCTAGGCTAGCTCTGACCAAGCAATCATCCTTACCACAGGTACACTGTTTGTCAAGCGTCACTTCATGGGTACCTTTGGAGCCCAGACACTTCCTATCTGTTTTCAATTTCACAGACTCCAAAATGATTTCAGAAAGTTCCAGAATATTCTAGATGATATTTTGAATCACTTGAAACTAAGGGGACTGCAGAGTCCTCATTCCTACCAGTTATACTGCCTTCCTGGTCCTGCCGATACAGCTTTCTTTCTTACATTCCAGTGGGAATGACCTGAAAATATGGTCACTTTATCCTGAAGAGTTTTCCAAATCCCTCCAGGTACAATTTACTTTTATTTCTTTCTGGTCTGCCTTGGGATAACTGAGTTCACCCAATTACTGGTGTTTATTATATAGTTAAATACACAAATGCTGTTTTTCAAATATAAAAAGCAGTGGACCAACTTTGTTAAGATCCATGAGACTGCAGCTTCACCTATAACTGCACAACTAAACTAACCAGGAAAATGCTCAGAAAAAATAGTCTGTGCGCTTTGCTGAAGCCTGTCTACTTGATCTATCTGGACACCTTACCGCTGAATCCATTGTGTGGAAAGCCCAGTGGATTATTAAAACAGCTGAACTTGTGCTGTGTTGTGGTTTGCTTGACCATGTATGAAAATAACCTGTGTCTACAGAAGCAAAGAGAAAGGTGAAAATGAATCAACCCACTTCTGGCCGAGCTGTTTGGATGTTTCAGGTAAAAAGTTCAGGTATCTATCCTGTCCTAGATTATCTAGAGAATTCAGTCTGTTTTCCACATATGAAAAAGCCATCTAGTGGTCTTGGAACTCATTATAAAGATAATTTATGTAAGAACAAACTAGCATCTGGCACTAATAGCTATTTTGATATTATTCAATAAGAAACTTTTGCTAAAATTCATTACAATCTTAAAAATGCTTTCAGCACTGTGGTACAAAGACTGGAGAAATAAGAACATGATACTTATGGAGCCAGGTGAGTCAGATATTACTTCTGGCTTTGCTACTGAATTGTGTCCCTTTGAGCAGACCACTTTCTTTTTTTGATTTCTAGAAATCTTGGACAGATATAGGCCTTGACCCATATAATGTTTTGGAAAAAAAAAATGCCATGCTTGTTTCTTGTTTTTTCATTTTCCATTTATAAATAAAGTAAAATTTCAAATGCCCTAAGATGTACCTCTATTATAGCTCTGCTTCTTTAAAGCTGTTGTAAGTTAAAACAGTGATTCTCAATATTTTTAACCTATGACTACCTTTGATAACATAAAAATCTCACAATTTTCTTTCAAATTATTTGAAGTTTCAAAATAAGTTAAAGAAAGGAAAAAGGTCAAAGCAATTCTGAGTATGTTTTATCAAACTACTGACATACCTCTTTGTTGAGATGACTAATTTAAATAATAATTCTAGACAGTAACATGACAGCTCTAAAACCAATTTTTAGGCAAATAAGGTGGTAACTATTTAGGAACAAAGTTTTTTGTTTTTGTTTTTGTTTTTTTGAAGATTTTATTTATTCATTAGAGAGAGAGAGTGCACAAGCAAGGGAAGCAGCAGGCAGAGGGAGAAGGAGAAGCAGGGCTCGATCCAGGACCCTGGGATCATGACCTTAGCCGAAGGCACATGGTTAACTGACTGAGCCACCCAGGCGCCCCAGGAACAAAGTTTTTAGGAACATTCTCAAGACTATGCATATATTTACCAACTCCACTGTACAATTCTCAATTTCTTGTGCTAAGATCGCATTCATTAAAGAGGATTCCTCAGTAGCTGAAGATACCATTTCAACAATATCCTGCTAAAAAGCAAATGAGGGAAAGATAGGTAAGTCTTCACAGTAGTAGTAATCACAGGAACAATTTTATTTTGTTAATGAATGCTCATTTCTAAAACTAATTTAAAATACTACCTGCATTCACAAAATATTATTTCTGAAATATCCTAGATAGGCTGCCCTGTTTTCCATACGCCTCCACAAATGAAGAACCGGCACATCCCTGCCCTCTTTGCTGCCCATCCTTTCCACTCCTACCTCCTTCACCACTGCAGACCTCATATCAAACACCTTCATAGCTGTGTGGCTAAGACCACTTTCCTTTGAAGCATTTTGTCTAGCCCCAGCCCCTACCTCTATCCTCACACCAGTACCAGGTGGCAGAGGAAGGAGAACTATAAACAGAGGGCTGAAAATGGGGGAAGGGATATTAATATCCCTACCTTGGGCCATGGCAAGATTCTTGCCACCACTGCTAGAGTTGTCACTGGCAAAAGGGGAGAAAAACTGTGTCCTCTGGAAGGGGAGCAAAGGCATAAAGGAAGAAGGAATAAGAGAAAGCCAGAGATTCTCCATTCCTTATCATCTCCTTTTTTCATTGCTATAGAAACAGTCGGCCCCTTTTTCATCTTTAACCAGTCTTCAAGTTAGGAGCCTCCTACAACAAAGGGTACTTGATTTTTCATTTCAGCTTTTAAAATTTTTAGTGAATATAAGGATTTGCATTTTATTTTATTATTTTTTTTAAAAGATTTTACTTATTTATTTAATAGAACGAGAGAGAGAGAGACAGTAAGAGAGGGAACACCAGCAGGGGGAGTGGGAGAGGGAGAAGCGGGCTTCCCGCTGAGCAGGGAGCCCGATGCGGGGCTCGATCCCAGGACCCCGGTATCATGACCTGAGCCGAAGGCAGACGCTTAACCGACTGAGCCACCCAGGCGCCCCGCATTTTATTTTTTAATCTACATGTTTGTGGAGACTTATTTTTTTTCTCTCTTAATTTCTATGAATATTCTACATTTTAGGTACTCTCAATTTTGCAGTTACTTTACATAAAAAATGTTTTATGAAAATTTGAAAATGATTAATCAGAATCAATATTTTTCTGTTCTGTCGATGTGTTCCCATTCCTGATTATATTTCACATCTGTTCACTATTTTTGGAAGCAGAATAAGAATGGAATTGAAAATTAAAGCGTAAGTATAGAGTAAAGGAGTTAAGAGGGTCAAGAGAACTCCTGTATCAATCTCTATACTTCAAGCACTTGGGAAAATCTGTTTTGTTACTATGTTAAAAAATTATGAACTAAACAAACCTGCCTGATCACAATTTTCAGTAGGTGCACTCTAAGAAATGCCTGAGCCCAAATAAGGAAGATAGTATACTGGCAACCCAATATCTCAATATCTAGTATACTATCAAATATTTAGTAAAATACATTGTTTTAATGCATTATAAAATTGTCTTTCCTTGCAAGGGCATTCAGTTCCAATATGGATTGACTTTTTTTTTTTTTAAGATTTTATTTATTTGAGAGAGAGACTGAGAGAGAGAGAACATGAGAGTGGGGAGGGTCAGAGGGAGAAGCAGACTCCCTGCTGAGCAGGGAGCCCGATGTGGGACTCGATCCCAGGACTCCAGGATCATGACCTGAGCCGAAGGCAGTCGCTTAACCAACTGAGCCACCCAGGCGCCCTGGATTGACTTTGAATTCCCTGAGTGGTTATCAAAATACAGTGATGATGGAACAAACCAGAAAAGCACTAGTTTATTTTTATCTGGTTTGGCTATAATATTTATATTTGTACAACCACTAAAGTGACAATGGGGAATATATTTTAAAGCACATCGTTTCCAATGATGCTTTTAAATAACTATGTTTTTTTGAATAAAAATTACATCTTCAAATAAAATTTTTTAAAAATTTTGTTTGGTCATGGATTTTAGATAGTCTTTTGGATTCAAGGTTAAGGTAATTATAGGTCTAAAACATAGTCTTAGAGGTGAGAAGAGTGAATTTATGATCAGAAACAAAACATAGGTGCACTGTCTAGAGTCCTAAAAAATTCCATGATATTGAATGTGGGGCCCAGTAGGATTCTCAGGATATAATTGGATTCAAGTACACTCATCTATTTGATGTACCATGCAAAATGTTACAGTATGAAACTACTTATCTTGTAATTTACTATCCAAGCTTCAGAAAATACTGTTCTGTGGATGAAAATCACACTTTACATAGTACTGCCACTTACTAAACAAATTACAGAATAAGATGGAATATAAACTATAAATGTAAGAAGACATATCAGAGTCTCAAGTTTTCTTCACTCTGTGTCAGAAAAATAATATTTTTATGATTTTCTTTGATTAACTTACCTCAGAATTAATATTTTCATTGATATCCTCATGAGAGCTATACTTAGATCCATCGATCACATCTTTCCAAGTTTTGAATTGATTTAAGTCTTGCTGGGAATTTAGTTCTTCCATCACGGAGGTCTCTGAATTATTATGGAAGTAAAGATTTCACCAAAATACCTTTCAAACTTAAATTGGAATATGGTTGTTAAAAAAGAAAGCTTCTGACAGAAAACTTGGAATCCAAGAATTTAAGCAAAGGGTGTACAAATTTTCTTATAGTTTCCCAAGATCATGTATATTTATCTTCTCTTTCCCCTTGTCTGCTTCTTACCACCTCCACTCCCCATCCTCCATGAACTATCTCCCCCACACTCACTCCAACACATGCACTCACAAGACAACATGGATAGTTCAAGCCCATCTTGGTGTATGGTTCAGTAGATTTTATGCCTTCAGGACAGGTGATCAGGAAGCAGAGATTGATTTACTACCAGAGCTGGTTTTATTATTCCTTTATAATAGTCACAATAATAATCAGTAATTATTAATACTCCATGTATCCTCTAGGTGGATGGAAGTATCTATGTCTCAGGTTAATTGTATGGTTTAAATGCTATTCTTATCACTAGGTGACTTTTCATGTTAGCTGTCTTAAAGTGAAACATTACCCTCCTAGATAAAAATAGTTTTATCTGTTGAAGGTTTAGAGTACTGCCTGTAGGGATGGGGGAGATAGGAAGAGTGAGATTAGGAAGAATCCACATAGTATATATACCTCATCTTTTTAATGTAGCTTGTTGGACAAAAATTAATCTGCAGGCAATGCTGATGTAACAATTTCTTTTAAGTTGAAATACTCTTCTAGAGATAGCATTTATACATGGGAATATGGAACTGGATCCCATTTTCATTTGAAATGTAAAATGACATTTTTGTTTCTATAACATTCCCTTCAACACCAACAGTTAGGATGTCTCACCTGTTATGTTTTTGCTTTCCACTTCTTCCCTTACTGATTCCTTCTGTACCAATTTTCTTCCAAGTTTAAAGCCAGAGGACAGAAAGCATTTTGTAAACAACTGTAAAAACATACATTTTTATTTCTTGTTTTTGTACAAGTAAAACAATTCAATAAAATACAACCACATGTGCTAAAAAATGAAAACTATAACTCATGCACACACATCAAGCAAATTAATTCAAAAGTAAGGGGTATTTTTTACAAGTTTACATTCTGTTGTATACATGAATGTAAATATGCATTTATTTATTTATAACCAAACACTGCACCTACATAAAAAGATGAAAACTATTACCATTTTCAGTTCAGCATGAGTCAAATCCTGGGCAGCAGTTGACAGAAGTGTGTCCACTCCTCCCTTCTTCTTCCACATCATCAATCTTTGGGTAGGAGGTGCAAGTTCCAAAACCATAAGTGTGTCCGTAAAGGAAGTAAGTTGTTTATGCATAATTTTGCTACTGATCTCCTTGATTGGATCTATGAGCAATTTCCTCTTTTTGCCTTTTCTCTTCTCAGCAATGTCTAAATATAAGAAATAGGCACAAATGTGATTGGTTGTACAGCTTTGTAAAATGATATTCTAGGCACTACATATCTAAGAAATATCTACCACAGTGTAACCTACAGAGTTGCCATGGGAAGAAAATCCCTTTCTCTCTACTGAATAATTATGCTTCACAAGGTTTTTGCACAGCTAAAGTATCTGAGTAGCCAACAGTTGATGCATTTTGTAAAGTGTTCCTTCCAAGTGCTTAGGAGGGACTCTGTTGACCTAGCAGGAAGACAACTGAGGAAATCTGGAGCAGAGGACATAATGAGGGAAGTTGCTCAATTTTGAAATTCCCTAAAATATCCATATAATAGGATATTTTGAAACATTAATTTGTATTTGGCCAGTATATTTTTCCCTCCTCCACTGAAATTCATACACAAATTCCAAGTAGGTAGCTAGGCCCATGGGATTTCACTCCTTTAGATAATTTTACCAGGTAGAAAGAAAGCAGAAATTACGCTTTTCCTTAGTAAAGATGCAAAAAGGGAAGATTAGATTTCCCAGAATGGGTGAAGATCTGAGATCAGATGGAGCCAGATGGAAAAGTAACCTGCCTGCTAATGTGCCTTAGTAAAATCCTGGGAACGTGACAAGATCCCAGAAGGGCTGCTGTGTGATGACCCCAGAGGCTATATAGACTGGGACAGTGGGTACCACAAATTGTTGTGGCTGATGACCTAAGTTTCCTTTCCACCTGCCACACCCCTCCCCCAAATTTTGACACTACATGGCTTAGGGCACACAGGGGAACTGTACAGATTGAAATTTTTGCCAACCCAGTGAGATAGAAGCTCAGAGTTGCATACAGTAAAGAAAAAAACTTGAGTGCTTTATTCCTTGCATGCCTGAGTTTATAACTGAAATTCATATCAATTATACCACTTAAAACTATGATGTCCTTACAAGGTCAGGTTATATATTAGATTCATATTTATCTTTTATTCCTAAAAATATGCATGAGGTTAAATGTTAGAGGGCATAGGCCTCTCTTCTGATCCTTTTATTCTGCCTTATTTTATATTCATTTGCATGTTTATCCATCTTCCCAATCAGATTGTAAGCCTCTTAAAAGCAGGTACTATATCTTCTTCATTTCTCGGCCCAACAGAGAGTAATGGTTCTGTAACTACTGGCATTGAACTCAGTTTTAGATTTTCCAGTTTCCCAAACTGGGTATATGGCTTGACCATGACTGACAATAATGAAAGGATCACCTCAAATTTCCTCCACACTCTTTCCCTATCATATTGCAAATGTTATTACTGGGTTGACTACCTCCGATAATATTTCACAGATTATCTCACAGTAAATAAGATAGTGTATCAGAAATAAAAACAAAGGGGGGCCTGGGTGGCTTAGTCGATTAAGCAGCCAACTCTCTTGATTTCGGCTCAGGTCATGATCTCAGCATTGTGAGATCGAGTCCTGTATCAGGCTCCACACTCAGTGGGGAGTCTGCTTGTGGATTCTCTCTCTCCCTCTCCCTTTGCCCCTCCCCCCTCAAATAAATAAATCTTTAAAAAAATTTTAAAAATAAAAAATAAAAACAAAAACATGAATGAGTCTGACCTGCAGCATCAATTGGGTCAAGGGTAAGTCCTTGTTCTTCATTTGATAATGTTTCATCCATTTTTCCATTTTCAGGTAGACATATATACTCTGGATTATCTGGTTCCACTAATAACATCACCATAAAAGGAATTATTAAAAAAATAATGGTTATGTTATAAGTTAGATGCTTGTATGAGAACGAAAGCAAAAGATAATGATAATTGAAGATTTATATTGCTAACTGGAGCCAAATCTGATTTTTAGAATCACGTACTTAATGGAGTTGAAGAGACACAGAGATTATATGGTCTGGGGCCCAGTGTCTAGGTGAATCAAGTATCATCACCTTCTTCTGCACATGTAACATCTAAGGTTAGACTTAGTAGAAACAGTGGTAGCAACCACAATAAATGACCAACATAAATTTGATTATATGTCTGCTAAAAAACTTGTATTCTGTTAAATCATTTAATTATTAGTTGACCCATAAAGATCCATAAGTAAATTTATATCGCCTCTCTTTTTACATTTTAAATTTCTACTATGTGTTAGGAGGGAAATGTAACATCAAAAGAGTGAAGAATCAAAATGGGTTTATTCATGGTTTTAATTCTCAGGAAAAATCAGAAAGACTTTAAATAATCTGAGGTACCTTCACATGAATTTCAAGTAGAAAATATCCCCACATCTGTAATTTTTCTCAAATTGTATATAGATTGTCCAATTATATTAATGCCAATATGGTATTAATATTAATAATTAACAATATTAATAATTAATAACCATATTAATGACAAACATTAATGATGTTTTGAACATGTAGCACATATTATTTTAATGATTCAAAAGCATAGTATTCTCGCAGTGTTTAAACGTGCTCTCATACCAAAAAAACCCAATCCTGGTTAAATAACATTGTTGTACATTTCTTGGAGCCTAGTTTCCTATTCCATATTGTCTAGGGTCAGACTCAAGAGAGTTTGAGGGACAACATTCTTTACTATCATTCACTATACTATATTGCTACCTAAACTGTGCAGTTACAAGGCTTAATTTGAATATTAGTATCTGTTCACTTTCTACACAAAGGATAATTTCATCATACCCACTATAGTATCAGGAGGCTCAGGAGGCAGAGAAATTTCTCTGCTCAAATGCACATCTTCTAACAGGATATTTTGATCATCTTGCAGTAGATTGTCTTAAAAAACACAATAAATACTTTTGTCATACAGAGTTGACTCTGTCATTTGTTCACTAAACATTTATTGACATTATTGTATACAGGATTATAAAGTACAACCCTACTTAAGTAGATTTGATTTGTTACATAGACTATCATATTTCAAGCAGGATAATATAAAAATTTATATATATCATTTCCTTTCCTTTATTAAATAGGTGTTTAATTTCAGGAGATATTTACTAAACTAATACCAAGATAGTAACCTTATTACACAGCCATGTTTAGATTTCAAATCAAGAAGTAAAAGCTTTCAAAATTCTTTGGTAGAGATTTAAGGTAGAACCACTGTTTTTTCATAATTTTGAAATTTCAAAAAGTTTGCCATAGCCAGCCTTTTAAAGTAAACTAGAGAATTAAAAAAACATGTTACTTAGCCATCAATATCTTTAAAATGTGTATTTAGATTTCCTAGTTTTTGTCTACCCTATTTCTATGATTATTTTATAATAACATCATAATATAAATATAAAATTATAATATAAAATGTTGGACAGATCCTTTAGAATAGCTATTTCACAATTTCTGTTAAGGAAAACAATGTTTTCTAATATATGATCTAATATATTTTGTGAGGAATATATTAACTCCACTCCTTCCCCTTTAAAAATTAGGAATTTGTAAAAATAAAAACAAGTAGTATTTTATAACCTATATGAAAAATGTGTTTAAATAGATGGCTATTCACTTAGACCTAGCCTAAATGTTTAAATACACAATAGATTTTGAAAACTTGTGTAAAAAATATATTGATTTATATGACACAGGGGCATACCTGAAATTTTAGTTTGATCTAATAAACCTATTAATACATTCTAGTATGATTGAAATATCCAATTTCCATATAACCAGACAGCATACCAATCATCTCTCCTGCAGCCCCTTCATCTCCAAATCCATCTCCACTGTCATAGAACAGAGATTTTTCTCCGGCAAGGCTTCCAGAACTATGTTCAACTAAAGGACCACTGGAATTCAGCAATATGTTGTCATCAAAGAGGCTATGTCTTCTGAGAATTTCTGATTCCTCCCCTAAATAAATATATATCATTAATACTGAGTTAGCCATAGAAACATAGAGTTTTAGGGTTAGATGGAAATTCAGATATCTTTTTGTGTAGCCCCTCCCATTTTACAGATTAGAAAAATGAGAGCTAAAAAACTTATTTGAATTGTTCAACTAATGTCATTCAGTTAATCAGTGGAGACTGGATTTCTAAAGCAATAGGAAAATACATTAGGATAGAGTTTTTAGTTGTAGTTCAGCTGAATAATTTCCCAGAGGATAATTATTGGCAGTGGAATGATTTCTCTACATTAGATAGATCATGTCCTGCTTGATAAGCATTATTTCATATTATTTCAAGTACAATTGCTTGTGTTGTTTATCCATAATGGAGGTTTGGAAAATAAGAAGCATATCTGTCTTCTTAGGAATGGAAAGGTAGTTAAAATATTAAAGAATGGGCTTATAACACTCATTCAATAAACATTTATTGAATGACTGGGTATTAGGCAATCTACTAGGTGTTGGAGATACGGCAGTCAAAAAGACAAAACCCGGTCAGCTAACATTAACCGAGGCTAACATTAACCGAGTACTTATTATGTGCATTATATTATGTAACAGAAGATACTATTATAATCCTTATTGTACAGACAAGGAAACATGTCCATAGAAAGGTTTTATAATTTGCACACAGGCATACCCTAATAAATGACAAAGCCAGGATCTGAACCTAGCAGAGATAGGACAGTATCTGTTAGAATTTCACTGGTAAAATATTTTGCAAAATGGCAACTTATGAGAGCAAACTCCGAAGACTCCACAGCAGCAGATAAAATGAATGCCCTGCTTCAAACTGACTTGCTTCCAGATTGGCCATCAGCACATGTATATTCTTTGCCTTTCTTGGGTTTCAGTCTCTAGGTCCAGGAGTCTGAAACCAGCGGTCAGACAGAAGTTGGTCTTCTCTTCCCTCTCTTTAACAACCCATGTTAATTAGTGTTAGTCAGTAAAGAAAATAATGAAGTATCACTTATATTAAGATTCTTCTATAGGCCTACATCTCCTAGAAAGGAAGAGTTGAAAAAGGCAGCCTTCATTGCACTGGATTAAAGATTTGCTCAATAGAAGACTGACTTAAAAACAAACAAACAAACCAAACCCCCCTTCCCAAACCAAAAATATGTTCACATCTTCCAGAAGCAGCTTGAAAGCTCCCAAAAGAAAAACCAGACTTGGCCAATAAGATAATAACATTTATGAGCAGACACTATTATGAGCACTAGCATCACGATACCAAGATTACTCAAAAAAATTTAAAAAGTAATCATTGCTTTCAATCTTATATTGTAGTTCGGAATAGTATAAATATTAAACATTTCTCAGAAAACATGATGTTTGAGCTAGTTTTTGAAGGAGAGAAAAATCACTTATTGGTGAAAAGGACTGAAAGGGAAATAAGGGAAATAACACTCTGATGATGCTTGTAGTATCTCAATTTTACAAAAAGGGTAGTAAGGCTCAGGGAAGCTAGGTCATTTGCCCAATATCACATAGCAAGGCCATAGAGAAAGCTGATTCAAACTCAGGTCTGTTGGTATACTAAGAACATGTTCTTCCCCTTTTTTGAATCGTAGGAGACACAGACTGAGAACAGCTAAATTGTATTGGTTGGCTGGTAAGACATTTAGAGCAAAACTCTGTAGTGAGAATAAAACAAAGTTGATAAAACAAAGAAGATGATAAACTGGTATAGGGCCTTGAGGATAGGGAGGGGTGTCTAAAGTAAGTCATAGGAATCCAAAATACTTAAGTAGAGGAATGTGATATGAAAAAAAAAAAGGAATTTAAGGACAATTGTTCTTGCAGAGATATATAAAACGTGGGAAGAGACTGGGAAATGTGTAGGAGGGTATTCTAGTACTCCAGACCTTTAGTACCTTTGAACTATATATATATATATATATATATATATATATATATACACATATATATATATACACACATATATATACATATATACATACACACACACACATACACACACACTTTTTTTTTTAAGTAGACTCCATGCCCAGCGTGGAGCCCAATGTGGGACTTGAACTCATGACCCTGAGATCAACCTGAGCTGAGGTCAAGAGTCGGACACTTCATCAACTGAGCCATGCAGGCACCCCACTACTGGTAAACTATATAGGTGGCTAGGGAAATAGAAAGAAGACCTAAAAGGCATTTCCAATTTTTTGTTGTTGTTGTAAATCAGCACTAGTATGAAGCTTACAGAAAGTGTAGATAAAAGTGATCCTAGTGGGGCACCTGGGTGGCTCAGTCGGTTAAGCATCCGACTCTTGGTTTTGGTCACGATCTCGGGGTTGTGGGATCAAGCCCCACATGGGGCTCCACGTTGAGTGCAGAGTCTGCTTGAGTTTCTTTCCACCTCCCCCCTCCTCCCCCTCTGCTCCTCACCTTCCCACCTATAGGAGTCAAAGATGAATATGACACAAGATCTTATCACCTTGGAGTTCTCAGACCAACACAGGATGTATATAGTATCATGGTACAAGACAGAGGTAAATGCCATAAAAAGAACAAATACTATATGGCTTTAATTCTAAAATACACTCAACAGTTTCTGTTTCACAATCAATGAGTATGTACTTAGCATGTGGTATTTCCTCCTCAGTCCTAAGCCATGTTAAAATCTATTTTTTTTACAATTGGTATCATCATATACTGGAGGAATCACCATATTCTGAAGGCACACTCTATGTAGCACGCATGTAAAACCTTATATATATGTTACCACAGCAAATGTTTATTTTCACGTCTCTCTCACAGCCTGAAGCTCCTTCAGGAAATGCTTCTGCAAACTTTGTACTGCCTATGCCTGTGATAGTACCTACGTAGAGTAAGTATTCAATAAATGCTTGTACACTAAGAAGGGAAGTTTATAGCCTAAGACTGAGTCTTGGCATCGACACCTCTTCAGAAAAAGGTAAGGGCAAACTTACTGAGAGTTGCATTTACACAACAAGAGATTCATTCTAAAGATATTTCTACTGGCGTAGAGATAGCTATTTCTATTGATATTGTCTCAGTACAAAAATGCAAGTACAATTGATTATAGCTTGTAATTTTAATTTCTCAAATATTCTCACCAAAGCTTCCAGCTTGGAAAAGTAGATCATTACCATAATCTTCTCTAAGTGTGATTTCCTCTGGTCTGCTTTGGTTCTGAGTAAAGTGTTCTGAAACGTTAATAGCACTATGGAGAAACAGAAGATTGAGAAAAACATGGGAACAGAACCCAAGGATTTTGCAGTATACTGAAAAAAACCCCCAAACTCCTAAAACAAAAAACAAGTTTTATTATAAAAATACTTTTATTTCCTCAATAGTATTATTTACAAACACTAGTTTATTGTACATGCATATATACAAATGATCTCCAGGTTGCCAAATCCAGTGGTCAATTCTCAGTCATTATCTTACTTACCCTAACCAACCGCATTTGAAACAGATGTTCACTCCCTCATGGAACAGTCTTCTCTTGGCCTACTTTCTCCTGATTTTTTTCCTACCTCATTGGCTGCTCTTTTTCCATCTCCTTTATTAGTTCTACCTCATCAGACTATTAGCTACTAGGAATGACCCAACACTCTGTTCTCAGATCTCTCTCTTTTTAAAAAATTGAACACACATTCCCTGGAGGTCTCTTATGACTCATGGGTGAAGTTCCAACTATATACTCACAACTATCAAATTTATATATCCCAATCCAGACCGTTTTCCTGAATTTCAGACAAAGATATTCGACTACCTGCCTACTCCCCTTGGATGTACAACAATCATCTCAAAATTTGTAAAATTTATAAAGCCTAATTTAACCTTTACCCTGCCCCTCTTAAACCTACCATTCCCTAGTTATCCTCATCTCATTAGGTGGTTAACTCCATTCTCATGCTCAAATCATATAGTCCTCTTTCTTTCCCTTAAAGCCATATCCAATTCTTCAGGAAATCCTGTTGGCTCTGTCTTCAAAATATATTAATAATTTGAGTGTTACCACCTTGATAACATGAAGACTGAGAAGTAAAGTGATCACAGACACTATCATTTCTCCCTTGGACTTCCTTTTTTTTTTGGCGGGGATAGTACCGTTTATTAAGGAAGAACAAGACAAAGACCACAGGAGGGTCCCTTCTAGGACACAGCGGCCAGGCATCCTGACCCCACATCTGTGGGACGGGCACGTGCCCCCAGTTGGGCTCTCAGGCTCCCACAGACAGGGCAGGATTGTCATGTCCCCTTCCTGCCCATCCCAGTCATGAGTCCTGGCATCCCCCACCCAAGGCACTAACTCTTTTCAACCACCAATACCCTCCTCCCATGTCCCCTGGGCCTTCACTTTCAGATCAGTGGGGGGTGGGGATATGGCCTGGTGTGGGCGGGGAGACACTCTCAGTGCTGGGATCTACCCAGCTTCTGGTAAGAGTTGGGGTGGAATTTCCCTTGCAGCCCCTGGGGGTAGGGGCCCTGGGCTAGGTGTTGGGGTGGGGAGGGTCATCTGGACTTCTTACTGAAATAATCTTTTTTTTTTTTTTTAAAGATTTTATTTATTTATTTGAGAGAAAGAGAGTACACAGAGGGAGAGTGAGAAGCAGACTCCCCGCTGAGCAGAGAGCCCGACGCGGGACTTGATCCCAGGACCCTGAGATCATGACCTGAGCTGAAGGCAGACGCTTAACCGACTGAGCCACCCAGGCGTCCTGAAATAGTCTTCTCATAGGCTCTCTGCTTCCTCCCTTTCCCCCTTATAGTAGGTAGCCTGAGGAAGCATGTTGATATCAAGTCAGATCCAGTCACTCTCCTATGCTTCCTATCAGAGTAAAACAAAAGTCCTTAATGTGGCCTTCAACACCCTACATCATTTGCACCCCCAGCTACCTCTCTGACCTAATCTCCTACCACTCAGATGCT